TATCAGACCCATTGTTCCAAATTCAAACCTATTCGATGACAATAAGAATCTTCTTCAGAAGGGCCTAGGCCCGAAACGTCAGCCTTCCTGCTCCTCTGATGCTGCTTGGCCTGCTGTGTTCATCCAGCTCTACACCTTGTTATGTCAAATACAAAGATCAGATTCTGCAGTTGTTACCAACTGATGTCTGTGCTTAAGGCGACAAAAGAAAAACAGGAAAAAAGCAATCCGACAAGGCTTACACCAGCAGTGAATGCCAACTATAACAGTGAACTGATCCATCCTTCTTATATTCAACCTTCTCCATGAATAAGTAAACAAATAGACCCCTCTCAATAAATAGTGAAAGAAACAGACCTTTGGCATCCACTACATTCCCAGAACTTATAAGTAAGCTAGTTTTCTCACTCCCTGATCCTTTGTTCACAAATTACTACGTGAACAGACCTTTTTCTCCTTAACTAAGAATCCATGGAACCAAATCAAATAGAGCACAATGCTCCAAAACTTTTAATTAGTTGCCCAGTGCACATTCACTTCTTTATTGCATCTTTTTCCACTCTGTCCTATTGTAATATCAAAAACTCATCAAACAATAGGGCCAATCACAACTGAGACTAGTTTCATGCCACAGCCATACTTGTGTCTCCTGAGTTATGACTGCTGATGGCAATCAGGAATATCAACTTTCTCTACTCATTCCCTTCCCTAACCTTATGATGTTACAGTCAATTGGGGTCTCCATTAGTATCTTAGCTAACTAGGCAAAGAATAGCATCAAAATGTGAGGCATTATTGGTTTCTAAGAGCATGTTGACATGGCACTGATCCAATTTATCTGCTTGTAATGCAGCGAGAATTTTGCTATTAAAATATTCATATTCAAAGCAAGATTAAAATGTCCATTGCAGCGCCGCAAGCACAGATAGTCATTCAATACTCATACTGAGCTTGTCAAAGCAGAATTAAAACAAAATTATTTTGAGTTGTTGACTTGAAGTGAGTGTTTAGTTACTTAACATTTATAATATTACCAGAAATAAGGAAAATTGGGAATTGTATGGCCAAAAGAAGACTTGGTCTTGTTTATCCTATGTCAGGAGCAATACTTTCATTGAGCAATATGATCATCTTTAAGTTTTACTTATATTAACTTAACCGCAGATCCATGTTTGGATGCAAAATGATTTCATTTACCTGTATTAGGAGGAGAACAGCAGCAACTACAAGAACAGTTGCAACGTTGCCATTGAGCCATTGTTTCATGTGTGTGCTGCAGCCCTACGAGGCAAGTTGTATAAATGATCAGGTTATACACTGAAAGGATTTTGTTTTCATTTAAAGCAAATAACTGTAAAACAGAAATTTTTAAAAAGGTTTTGACAATCATCATCTAACATACAAAAAGCAAAATGTTTCATATTTGTCATTTTGATAGACTTGCTTTCAGTTTTACACATGTTGACTCCCAAGATTTGGCTGTGCTTACAAGAACAACATGGGTCAGGAACTTCCCTATAAGAAACATCAGAGCTTTTATCCTCCTGCTTAGCACCCATTCACTTCCTCCCCCAAACTAAAGCCCAAGGAAATGTTTCTTAAACAAAACTGACCTGGCTCCACCTGTTGACCACTTAATTTTAATCTTCAATGAATCAAAATCCCAAAATCTGACTTCCAGTTTTTACAAAAAAAATGGTGTTGACATGAAAATTCAGAAGTATCTGAACTGAGTCACCATGGGTTCAAGAAAGCTTTTTGCCAAAGTCTTATTTACGTTTCAAATTTTGACATATTTTGGAACACCCCCTCTGCACCCTTTGCTGTGTTTGCATAGAGCGATGTAAGGAAGAATGACATCACATCAGAAATTAAATCTGAATTAAGAATTAATCTTCAAATAGTTTGAATGAAAGAAAGTGTAAATGCAAGAACAATATAATAGCAGCATATGTTGCACTGCCATACTATAACATTCCCAAGATAATTCAACAGTAATTTAATTTCCAGCAGCAGGGTTTTCAGAACAAAAATTTTCTTGCCAGTTCTAGTACGTGAGATACTCATTTTCTTTTAAAATCTAAGAATTGGATTTTCCATTTTCCCGCCAGTTGGCTTGACAGGGCGGGGGTCAAATAAGATCCAATGGGCTGTCTGCCAGCTGTTTACCTACCTGCCCCACCACAATTTTTCCCATGGTGCAAATAGTATTACTGCCCACTTCAAGTGCTACTAGCTAATAAGTTCTATCCATGGATTTAAATATTGAGTAGTTGAAGGCTGTGTAATAAAAAAGATTTGGGATATTGATTACTTAGTTATACTTAAGTAAAAATAAAATTTACTTATATAAAATATTTCAACTTTTTTGTAAATAAACAGATTTGTTTTCCTAAAAAGACTACTGAGATCTATGTTTCTTTTCATATTTTATACTAAACAGCTGTCTTTTTTTAATCTGATTTGTTTTGGTCAAATTTAGTTTATTAAAAAGCGTACTTTAATGTATATATAAAGAACAGCCAGTCCAGCACCAGGGGGATTGTTTGGAATGGAGATGTAAGCTCAATGGAAAGCAACAAACAGACTCCACTGAAGCACTTTAAGTCTTGTTGTATTCTTCACAAATAGGCTTGGACATCCTCTCATATTAAGGACCTCATCTTGCCAGAATTTAACCAGTGGCAGGAGCAGCCCTCAGCAAGAATGGATGGATCACAGCAGGTCTTCCCATGCAGCTGGTTTCACTTGGGGGATCACAGCTTTCCAGACCGCCAGAGCTCATTGGATAGCCCTCCACCCACTGTCTGTTAAGCACCTGCTCTCCACAACCTGGGCTGGGCCCTATCAGCTTGCCATGTGGGGAGATCCCAGACTCACCTATCATTCCCAGTCCAATGCAGCTTGCCTCATCTAGCTCTAAATGAATTATTAGTGGTGGTGACTGGTTCTGTGAGGGCTGCCAGTACTAGGCAACTTTTAATTGTCTGGTAGCTCTCTGTAATGGGTATTCTTATGCCTGAAGGCTGGTTTCCCATCAATTCACAACTAATCAGCCTCACCATCGCTATCTGCTGGTAGAAGTCCTGGAGAACTGCACTGCTCTCTGGTCAGTGACCTCCATCATTGTAAACACCTGCTGCTGGAGATCCTGTTACACTTTTTAAAAAACCTATTTAATTGCCTGTGTGTTAAATCATGTAAACACTAATTATTGTCTTTGGAGATGCGTCATTGAGCTTTAGAGGGCAACAACCAAGGGAGCGTTTAACTTTTCCCAGCAAAAATCAATTAGAGCAAGCTCCCTGTCCACCACTTTGATCACATCATGACTTTGATCCCTTTCTCTTGGGTTGGCGGGGGGGGGGGGATTCTTTACATTTGCAGGGTATGATCCCAGCTGTATATTTAGAAACAAGGGAGAGACCACCATTGCCAAGAAGGAAGCAGTCCATTCAATAAGATGTGAAAAGGGATTATATGAAAGGGGAAAGAAGAAACCATGGAGTGAAAACCTAGGCCTTTTATTGGCTATGTATTATGAGATATTTTACGCTAAAATTAATGCTGAATGTACGTAGGCACTTTATTTTTTTCAATTTTCAATTTATATTTATGGAGACATGGAAGCTATGTTAATACCTTACCTGTGGGTATATGTAGGTATTCTCAGTGATATGACAAAAATAATTAGAATCATCCACAGTAGAATTGCTACATGAGCAAGGGAGAGACATCAATCCAATCAGATCATTCTGTTCCCAATCTGTGGAATTGTAATATCCACAACACTGAAGCTAGGATACAAAAACAAATAACATTTGAAAAGAGAGTTAACAATCAAGGTGTATTCATTTTATCAGTCATTTTATGTGCTGCTCACTGTGTGTTTGAATACTTTTAAGAATAAAATAGAATTATTATTCAAAGTGCTATTACCAGGTTTTTGGTCTTTTTTTTATTGTTTATTCATGGTTTGAGGGTGTCGCTGGTTAGGCCAGTATTTATTGCCCATCCCAGAGGACAGTTAAGAGTCAAGTACTATAGTGATTGGAACTAGGGTTCACTATGAGATTCTTGATTGGGGTTGTTAACCTGGACCAATCAGGAATCCCTGGCTGACAGAGGATTCAAAACAGGGATTCAGAAGGTCTCCTCATCTAGAGACTTGCTTCGAGTTGGCTGGTCATAGCTGATGTATAGTGCACATGTAAATAAAGGGTGACTTGGTGACAGGACATTGACCCCTGAGTAGTTATTTCAACCACATTGCTGTGGGTCTAAAGTCACATGTAGTCCAGACCAGGTAAGGAAGGCAGTGTCCTTCCCTAAAGGACATTACTGAACCAGATGGACTTATCCTGACCATCAACAATGGTTTCATGGTCATTATTAGACTCCTAATTCCAGAATTGTATTGAATTCAAATTCCACCATCTGCCATGGTGGGATTCAAACCTGGGTCCCGAGAACATTCCTAGGTCTCTGGATTGACAGTCCAGTGATAATACCATTATTCTATGAGACTTCAGTATCTTGCAGTCCTGGGAATAAGTTGGATGGTTTAGTAAACCTTTGTTGTGGACTACTAGAGGCTTAGGGTATTGGGAGAGGGTCAAAGGAAGGTTCTGGAAGGATGAGGTGGAAATCACTGGAGGAGGACGTTCCCAAGAGTTAAATATGTTTTCTAGGGCATCTCCGGGAGTGTGGTGGGGGCTTTGAGTATTGAGAGGGAATCATGGGGTCTCAGAATGGGGAAGATCCATGGACAGAGATTCTGTGGTCCAACAGGACTTGGGGAGTGGCACTGCAGCTAAAGTTGGTGGAGCTGGTCTATGTAAAGACTGTGTATTTCTACATTTCTTTATTTTTTGATTGTAGATTGAAATGCGTAAAGGACTGTTTTAAAACCCAAGGATTTACTACATTTTAAAAAGCAAGTCATCTGACACTCATTGAAAAGCACTGTTCATACAGCTGTTTGTTCGAGCAGTGAGAAAGTCTAGTTGCAGAAAAGCGTGTGTAAGAGTGGAGATTCATCTAGTCAGCAACAAGTATCAAATTAGTCTGGGGAGTGGTGACCTGTTATCAATGACAAAGGACTTCTGCCTGCCAACAACTATGTGATTGGCTCCCAGGTAGCTGAGTGTGACTGCTTGGGCAGAAGCCATTTGACATCCAAAAAAGGAGTTGTCCTTTCTCTGCAGTAAAAACAACTCAAGCCTGAAGAAAGCAAATGCCTTAAGATATGGCTTCTAACTAATCAGTCAGAGACTTTATAAGTGTTAAACAGCCACTCTTTGACTCCTGCAAGTGAAAATACCTGAAGGAAGAAGGTTAAGGAGCAGAAAATCCTTTCATGGGATAAAACATATCTCAGCGAACTTTGTGACAAGGGTCTATTGAACTGCCTTCCTAATCTTTCCCTTCTCCCATGACACCCATATTTTTTGTATGTCTTCGTATGTACAGTGGGAGTTTAATAAAGGGATTAGAGTTTAAACAGTAGAGTGATATGTTGATGGTTCATCAGTGTTTACCTGTAACTAGAATATATTTATCTGTAATTAATAGCACCAATGTTAAGTACAGAAACACAGCTCATGCTTTCTGTCAACTTGGGTAAATTGAGGAACTTGGTGTACTTTTTTAAAAAAACTTTAACTTTTGTGATGATTCCAGACATAGCAGGGCTTCATTTGCAGAGTGTGACCACAGTGAGGCATAACAGGTAAATGGAGTCTAAATGTTTCAGGCACAAAATTGTTGCAAGCCCCCTTCAAACACCAGACCTTTGTCCTAATTTTCACGTGAGCCTGTACATGGGCAAACAGTCTGCCGACCTGAAAGAGGCGAGATACTATTTAAATATACAAATTAGGACCCAAAGATGGTTCGATTATAAAGGTTTATCCCCTGGTGGAGCCACAGAAATTGAGATTAGGAACCATCAGGAGTTTACTGCAAAAAGATCTTCAGGTAGGAAACAGAGAATCTAGAGGCATAAAAACAAAGTTGCTGGAAGTTCTGAGGAAGGGTCACCAGACCCGAAACGTTAACTCTGTTTTCTCCTTCACGGATGCTGCCAGACCTGCTGAGCTTTTCCAGCAACTTTGTTTTTGTTCCTGATTTACAGCATCCGCAGTTCTTTTGGTTCTTAATCTAGAGGCATACCCCTCAGTATGCAAAGGAACAGAGCAGGAAGATAACCATGAAGGCAACCATACAGAATATGAGCCTTATAGGGTTTGGAGGTGATTGGTCAGAAGCCAAGTATGACTAGAATGAGCAAGTTAAGCTGAATACTGCATTAGAATGGAGAGAGCATTTCTTTCTGTGCTTGAAACCTGCAGATGGAAATGGAGGCATAGAAATAAGTTACAGAGTTACTCACATTGTTGGACCTACAATATGCTGGAGATGTACTCTGCATTGTAATATTCTATGAGAATGAGTTGCTACACAAATGTACAGATACAGTGGCCCAGACTTTCTTCAGGCTGCTTTTTTTTATATATAAAGTAAACCTGTTTGGACATGTTTGGACAAACCTCCATGGTAGGTGGAACTTGAATCCAGACCTTCTGGCCCAATTCAGGGATATGACCACAGTGTCACGAAAGCCTTGAGTACCAGGCTGCCTTTTAATGAAAGCTTTGTTCTATAACATTAACAGTAAACAATTCTTTAAAATTTGGACAAAAGAAGTGATCCTGCCAACTATAAAGTGTAATTATTTTTGTTGCTAATGTGTTTGTTTTTTGTAAACTTACTTCGTTCTGAATGAGATCCAATAAGTTCCATTTCAATTCTTTGGAAAAGCTATCATTGCCATAATGTTTAATAGCCTCAATGGTTTTCTTATCCAGCAGAGTTGCAATCTGTTAAAATTAAATATAATTGGATTGAATGTTCACTTAAAGGCCTGCAACACAACCTAGCCAGAAGGTAATCCTTTTGTAAATACACCCAAAAAGACTAGAAACCGAAAGCTTCATGACTAAAAATCAAATCAGTACTGTAAAAACAGACAAAGTGAATCAGTCAATTACTGGTGTCACGATTTTGCATGTTCAATCTGTATTAATTTGTTGAACATTAGTTGCTTCTTATTACAAAACACTGACTCAAGGAGGTTTTTGAAAGACTTTAGAAACTGGCAATTAATTTCCTGTGTGTGTGATACAATAATATCAGAAAAATAAAGGAAACCAATCTTTTAACTCCAAATAAACTACTGATGATTAATTCACTAAAGTAAATATAATAGTCTTCTGTGACATCATTGAGAGCTTTGGCTTTATAGGGGAGAAAATACTATACTCACACGGAAGAGCACTTAGTGCCACAGTAATCCATGAACACATCTGATGTGGCACGTACACATTAAGAGTCAGCGTAAGCATACAATGAAATGCGGAAAATTTGAGTGAGAAAGTACCATCCAACAGCACCAACCATTTCAGATAACTTTACAAATGGTAAAGTTTACCTTGTTTTTCAAGTTCACAGCGGTTCTGAGACACATCACTACTTCAACTGTTATTTTATGTTATTTTAATCTTCTGACATTGTTCTTATTTTTGCTTTCCACTGTAGAAACTCTTGGCTATCATTCAGACCTTAAATCTGCCACTAGCCTCTTTGCTAAACAATGTTTATAAATGCTTTATGTCTGGAATTGGGCAAATTAGAAAATTTCTAAAAGTAATTTGACAGAACAGAGGATTGTTGTGGGAAATAATACACACATTTTATCAGATATTCATAGACCAAACACATTTTCTTAATGGAAAATGGAGCAATATTTAAAATCATGTCACCAGAAAATAAATCAATACTTCAATATATGGGGTTTACTTATTTTCTGTACGATAACATTAATATTAAATGCAAATAATTGGTACCATAATATGTCGGAGATGTAGCAATGGTTGTATATGACTTTCACCATGTTTAATGTTCTGTCTGCTTTCAGTTACTTCACAATGTCCATTTTTACATTGTTGTGTTACATTTTAGACATTTTGTTAAAGGTACGCTGTCAGTTTACAAGAGCAGGCAAAGATCATGATAGCACAGAATAAAGCCAGAATGCAGATTAATGATTATTTTAATTGAGTTTATGCAAAAAAAAAACACTTTATCATTTACTACAACAACTAACTGGAGCTCAAGATCAATCATCTTCACTTCAGAGTCATAAAGTCATGGAGTCATACAGCACGGACACACTTCGGTCCAAACAGCCCATGCCAAACATAATCCCAAACTAAGCTAGTCCCACCTGCCAACTCCTGCCTCATATCCCTCCAAATCTTGCCTATTCATGTACTTATCCAAATGTTATAGTTGTACCCACATCCACCACTTCCTCAGGAAGTTCATTCTACATGCGAACCACCCTCTGTGTAAAGAATTTGCTTCTCATGTCTTTTTTTCAAAACTTTCTCTCCTCACACCTTAAAAATGTGGCCCCCTAGACTTGAAATCCTCCATCCTACGGATGATATAATACCACTAACTCTACCTATACCCCTCATGATTTTAAAAACTTCTATTAAGGTCACCTCTTAACTTCCTGCACTCCAGAAGAAAGAAGTCGCAGCCTATCCAGCCTTTCTTTATAACTCAAACCTTCCATATCCAGCAACATCCTGGTAAATCACTTCTTTAATCCATTTATAAACTTACATTAATTCTATAACTGAATGGTCATATCTGTGTTTAGATGGTAACAACAAAATGCATACTTACATTGCTATATTGTGAAAGTACGGCCAATCCAATTGCAAGTTGCAGAATGAAGATAAGAATTAGAAATAAGAAGTACTGAAAACAAAAATAATTAAATCAATTCAACAAATCTAACAGCATTTCCAACATATTAAACTATTCAGTTCAATATTAAAAAGGAAGTAAAGGTTGTTTGTGTAATAGTGTGGAAGTGGTGATACAAAATCAACTGCCAATCTCTTAAAATCTTCATTCAAATACAGGAAATAAAAGGGTAAATAAAATTTGGGAGAGATGTAAAACAGGCTGTGATTTTCTATTGTGCATTTTATAGTTTTGAACAAAATCAATATTACCTAGAGATAAGGCTCCCCATCCCACGCAGCTTCCAAAGCTCTCACAAACCTCCCACCAACTCTGTCATGACCAGCCTGACCCCTAGCCTGATGGTGTCTGAACTGCCTGACATTAATCAACTAGATTCAATGAATCGCTCTCAATTTTCATTTTGGCCAAGCTATTGGTTGTTAATGAGGCCTGAGTATTAATGTGGTCTGGTTCTCACACTGCAGCTGCAGTGTGTGGGTCCACCTCTGGCTTTCTTCTGGAGATTTAAAATACCCTAGCATCTGCTAATTTTACATCAGCACCAGAAAAAAATAAGAGTGAAAGCTTTACTAATAACCTTCAGTTATGAAAACTATCCAATGCTGCCTACTCTGCTGTTTATGCAACTCCTGTAAGACCATAAGACACAGGAGCAGAACTTAGGCCATTTGGTCCATCAAGACTGTTTTACCATTCAACCATAGCTAATAAGTTTCTCAATGAATTCTGCCACCTTCTTCCCATAACCTTTGATTCCCTTAACAATCAAAAACCTATCTATCTCTTTCTTAGCTATACTCAATGACCTGGCCTCCACAGCCTTCTATGGCAATGAATTCCATAGATTCTGTTTGAAGAAGTTTCTCCTCATCTACATTCTAAAGGGTCTTCCCTTTACTCAAAGGCTGTGCCCTCGGGTCCTAGTGTCTCCTGCTATATCCAGCCCTCTCAGTATTCTGCAAATTTCAATTAGATCCTTCTAAATTCCATCTAATATAGACCCAGAGTCCTCAAAAGTTCCTTATATGTTATTCCTGGGATCTTCCTCTGGACCCATTCCAGGGCCAGTACATCCTTTCTGAGATATGGGTCCAAAATTGCTCACAATATTCTAAATGTGGTCTGACCAGACCCTTATAAAGCCTCACAATTACATCCCTCCTTTTATATGCTTGTCCTCTAGGAATAAATGCCAACATTATATTTGCCTTCCTATCTACTGACTCAACCTGTATGTTAACTTGAAAAGAACCCTGGACTAGGACTCCCAAGTCCCATTGCACTTCAGATTTCTTAATTTTCCCCCATTTATAAAATAGTCTATGCCTCTATTCTTTCCACTAAAAACCATGACCTCACACTTTCCCACGTTGTATTCCATTTGCCCACTTCTTTGCCTACTCTCCTAACCTATCCAAATACTTTTGCAGCTCCGCAACTCCTCAATACTACCTGTACCTCCACCTATCTTTATATCATCTGCAAATTTAGCAGAATGCCCTCAGTTCCTTCATCTAGATTATTAATGTATAAAGTGAAAAGTTGTGGTCCCAACACTGACTCTTGTGGAACACCACTAGTCACTGGCTTCCATCCAGAGAAAGACCCTTTTATCCCCACTTTCTGCTTTCTGCCAGACAGCCAATCTTCTATCCATGCTAGTACCTTGCCTCTAACACCATGAGCCTTTATATTATTCAACAGCTTCCTGTGTGGCACCTTGTCAAAGGCCTTCTGGAAGTCCAAGTGGATAACATCCATTGGCTCTCCTTTCTCTAACCTGCTTCTTACCTCCTCAAAGAATTCTAACAGATTTGCCAGACATGACCTCCCCTTGATGAAACCATGCTGACTTAGCCCTATTTTATGATGCACTTCCAAGTATTCAAAAATCTCATCCTTCACAATGGACTCCAAAGTCTTATCAATGACTCAAGTCAGGCTAATTGGCCTGTAATTTCCCTTCTTTTGCCTCACTCCCTTCTTAAACAAGGGGGTTACATTAGCGAATTTCCATTCCTGTGGTACCCTCCCTGACTCCAATGATTCCTGAAAGATCACTACTAATGCCTCCACTATCACTTCAGCTATCTCCTTAAGAACTCTGGGGTGTGGTCCATCTGGTCCTGGTGTTTTATACACCTTCAGACCTTTCAGTCTTTCTAGCAATTTCTCCTTAGTGATGGCCACCATACTCACCTCTGCCCCACAATGCTCTTGAATTTTTGGGATGTTACTCATGTCTTTCACCTTGAAGACTGATGCAAAGTATTTGTTCAGTTCCTCCGCCATTTCTTTGTTCCCTATTATTGCTTCTCCAGCAGCATTTTCCAGCTGCCCAATGTCCATTTTTGCTTCTCTTTTGCCCTTTATATATCTAAAGAAACTCTTGCAATCTTCTTTTATATTACTGGCTAGCTTACCCTCATATTTAATCTTTGTGGTTCCTCTATTCTACCCACACAGATTCTCCATCATCTGACCCTACTTTATTTCTTGCTATCTATTTAATTTCATTTCCTACTATTAAGGCAATCACACCCCCTCTGCCCACCTGCCTGTCTTTTCAATAGGATGCATATCCTTGGATATTTAGCTCCCAGTCCTGATCCCCTTGCAGCCACTTCTCCCTTATGCCCACTACATCACACCTGCCAATTTCAATCTGCGCCACAAGTTCATTTACCTTATTTTGTATACTGTATGCATACAACACCTTCATTCCAGTAATAACCATGCCTCTTCTCATTGTCATCCATTTATCCAATGTGCTTGAAGTTAGATTCCTAACCTTTTCCAAACACTCTGTCCTGCTTTGTGTTCTGGAGATTTTAATAATCTCTCCTGAGTTCTCCTTTCTTTTCATACTTTTCCATGCAGTTGAATCCACTGCATAAATGTTAGCCTGCTGCTTTGTTTGCCATTGTCCATTATACTTCTTGGAATTTACCCTTTCCTTCCCAGCCCCACTTTTTCCCATCTCACAAAGATAATTGAATTGCCCAGTCTTCTGAAGCAGCCAAGCAAACACTTCAGTTGGAAAATCAATTGGACATGATTTTCAACGTCAAGTGTGTGACGGCAAGTAGGGGCTGCAGTTGGGTCGATCAACTCCAGGATGATTTCAGAGGACCACAGGATGCTGGGGCAATCTGTTTAAATGGCCTATTTTAGTGCTGGAGAATTTATCCTTGCAACAGTAACAACATTAAGGACCACTAGCCCTCACCCCTCATACCCCAACACACTCCCATATCCAATCCATGCAATCCAAACTCTTCACTCAAACCCCAATGCACAGTAAGGTTTAACTAAGTGCCCAGATATCCATTAGAGTGTTGAAACAGTTGGTCCCCAGGGAAAACATTGCTTGATTGACAGCTCTGAAATATTCTGAAAATTGCACAATGTTTATTTACACAAGATAATGAGATTTCAAGTATTTGCAGTTTCCGCTATTAATAATGTAAAGAGCCTGAATGATTGACACTTTTATTGGCCTGAAATGAAAGAAGTTTGTTTTTTAAAGAAAATAAAATGTTACAAACTATTGACATATTTTTAAACTTAAATTTTGTTGAACACATTATATTGTCATTATATGTTTTTTTTTATTCTACACAGTGAATGAATGAGCAGGACCTCTAAAGTGGGCAGAGAGCATAACTTGTCATACAGGCATGGAATGAAGGTATGGAGCCATGGAGGTGGGATAGCTTAGCATGGGAGTAAGAGTGGTTGTGGGGTAGGGGGCATAGCTTGGTATGGATGGTATGAGAGGCTACAGGTGGTGGAAGCATAGCTTGGCATGCTAAGAACTTTTGAACTACCTTTCAGAAGGTTTCTGAAATAACTCCTAAGAGGCCGGTATCCTGTCACCAAGTCACCCTATATTTACACATGCATAGGACTTGATACTGATCCAGCTCCCTCAGAGCCAGCTCTCAGAGTGAACAGAACCTCTGATATGTCTGTTTATATCTGTCACCCAGGGCTCCCTGATTGGACCAGATTAACAGCCCCAATCAGGGAACTCAGATTCTATGGGGTCCACCTGGCCAATATCATTACAATCACAACATCCCTCCTCTCCATGTCCAGGGACATAGGCCTGTTCTTTCTCTTGTTGCTTCTCTTCGGACTTTTTCACACCAGGTCTGGTTCCTCCAACTCATCCTTGGATTGGGCAGCGTATACCAGACTGTAACCTGCCTCTTGCACCCAGAGTGTCTTGGAAGAAAATCATCCACTTCTTCAGGTGGTAAAGGCATCAAGGCTGCGAAATCTGCTGTGTCCATCTCAGATTCCAAGGTTTTATTGATGCTTGATGGAAGGGGAGAACCCTTGAGTTTGGACAGCCTTTCTGGCTGCTTTGAGGGGTCAGGTATGTTTTGCTGCTGCCTGATTTGTGAGGTAGTAGCTTTCATGTGGTCCATGTGCTTGTTCAGGACTGCCTCACCTACCTGAACTTTGTATGTCACAGGACCTGACATTGTGTTGACCATGCCTCTTACATGTGCAGGGCCATTTCCGTGATTTCAGCACCAAACTTTATCCCCTGAAGTAAACTGCCTTGCTCACTTAGAGTAGTCTTGTGTCCGGCATTGGCATTCCCGATGCTGTTTCAACCCCACCCCAGGTCCAGGAAGATCAGGCTTAACCTGGTGTGCAGTCTTCTGCCTATTAGCAACTCTGCTGGAGCCATCCCTGTCATTGTATGAGGGATGGTCCTATAATCAAATTAGAACTGGGACAGTTTGATATCAAGTGAAGCTGTAGGCTATTCCTTTATGCCTGCCTTCAAAGTTTGGACTACTCTTCCCACCAGACCATTAGAAGGTGGATGATATGGAGCAATTCTTACATGCGGAATGCCATTTGACTTTAGGGAATACTCAAATTCTCTGCTAGTAAATGATAGCCCATTATCTGTGACCAACACTTCTGGGAGATCCTGTACTGCAAAAGATGTATGCAGTTTTTCTATCATCGTCTCCGTGTTTGCCAAGTGAACTCTATGCATGCTCAGCCACTTTGAGGGAGCGTCCACAATTACTTAGAATGATGAGTCCATGGAAGGGCCAGCATAGTCAACATGTAACCAAATCCAGTGTTTGCCCAGCAATTCCCACGAATGTGGGGGAGCTGCTGGTGGTAATTCTAGTCCTTGTTGGCACTCTGGGCACTGCCCAACAATGAAGCATCCAGCCTTGTCCACCAGACATAATTTGTTGCCAACATCTTCATTTTACACAGCCCTGAATGACGCTCGTGAAGCTCAGCCAGTATCTGATGGCAATGTTTACTAGGGACAATCATTCTTGCTCCCTATAGTACAATGCCATCCTCTATGGTGATCTGGGCTCACGGGTCCAGAAATGTTTAAATTCTGGTTGTGATGGCCCTTTTGATTCTCCCATCACCACCAGCAGTTTTACTTTTGCCAGGCCCAGATCCTTTTGCATCCACAGTCTGATATTGTCAGCAGGAGGATATCCAGAAAGTTTAAAGGCTACTCAAGGCATCCACATTTGCTACTTGGCCTCCTGGATGGTGTTCCAACTTGTACACGCTTGGAATGAGAGCCCACTGCTGAATTTGACCTGAAGCTATGGGCAGCACGGCCTTGTCCTCTATGAGTAGCCCTACCGGGGCTTTGTAGTCTTTTACTAGTACAAATTTATTTCTGTATGGGTATTGGTGGAACTTTCTCACACCAAAGATGACTGCCAAACCTTTCGTCTTTATCTGAGCGTATCTGCGCTCTGCATCAGCCATTCTGGGAAGCATACACTATTGGGTGTTCCTCTCGTTTGAGCCATTTTTGAGCCAATATTACCCTGATACCGTATGGGGAGGCATCACACGTCAACACCTGCCACAGATCCCAGAAATCTTGTCATGGAACAAAAATCTGAAGTACCAGAACATTCCCTCCCTTTTTGAGCAGCTGTGCATTGTCTTGGTGCTCCCAAATCATGAGTGGAAAATTAGGCTGTAACATCTTTGCAACACTTACAAAGATGTGCTATGATAAAAAAAAAGATTCTACAGGAAATATTTTTTGCATTAATGCCAGGAAGTTTTAAAGTATGTTCGACTTACCAGAATAAACAAGTGTTTCACTTCTTTTATACTTCCTATACATCCCACCAAACACACTATGGTGACAGTAATACCAATAGCAAGGAAACAGTAAGCACTGATGCTTAGGATATCTTGATGATCTGTAGATACTGAGCAGTGGAGAAAACAATGAATGCAGAAACTCATTCTGCATTGTAGAAAATGTATCAAATATCCAATGAAACCAGTGTGTATTAAGTCATTAAAATAAAGCTTCAACAGTTATCATAAACTATCATTGACAAATTTCAAACAATGTAAACTTTCCAAACTATAGGTTTTCTTTTAACTTCACATTCATATTAGAATGTCAGAGTAGCAAAACCAATGTGTGGAATAATTTTCAGCAAACAACATCATTGACTATTGTCAGTTCAGAAACTTCTAATGTAATCATACTAACTGTTTAATAACACAAACAGAAGGGACTATTTTAGCAGCAGTTATTACTTAGCACTATAGGCAGAAACATGTTATTTACAGCAGAACTCTTCATATTTATTTGCCTTAGTTTTACTTAATACATGCTGCTTGTCAGGAAAATGCACATTATATTTGTTGTGATAAGATCATATTTAAAAATGCCTTTGGAATGGAACGTAATTACAATGTAGAACTGGTCATCTTCTATTCTTGATGGCAGGAGTCGATATCAGGAGTAGATATAAAGTCAGTGATATGATCTGTCATATGTTGTTTTACATTTGCATTAGAATTTTTTGTGCTACTCCAACATTGTTAGAGTACATTCACATAGGTTGTTGTGAGTTGAGGAGTAAACACCTCATTTCAATGTTATGAGTGGAGTTACAACAAAAATATGTTTCCACACAGATAAATGGAGAAATCTCTGTATTTTTATAACATTAAATCAATTGAGTATACAGCTAAACAGTAAAACATTAGCAGTATATATTCAAAAGCTTTTGTATTTATGTTTTCTACTCAATGCATTCACTTAAATTGTCAGTCCTTTAATACCACATACGTAGCGTGAAAATTCTGCTGGAATTCTCTTCCAAACAGTAGCGATCCAACAGCTCAGGAGTTCTACTTTTACCTTCAACTTCTCCAAAAGACCAGTTCAGTTTTGGCACTCTGCCTGAATGTTTCCATTTTGGTCTCATTCAACTTCAGAAGAAAATAAAATCTAAGCTAATGATGTCAATATACATCTATGATGGATGGTACTTCATGAAGGTAAATCATTTTGTTTTACTGATGACAGTATATATTTTGGAATGGTGCGATCCAGAACATAACATCTTTGGGTGCATGGTATTTCACCATGTAGCATTTGTAATTATGTAAGCGTATAGCAATAAACTAAACTATAACTGAAGTATGGATAAATATCTTACACTTAATCACAGTGAATTAGTACAAAAATTGTTAGTGTCAAACAAGAAGCTGCTAAAGGTTTTGTCTCTTCTAATTTTCTCTCTTCTGTAAATTAATTTTCTGCAGTGTCTTAAGTTCAGTAACAAAAAGTACTCACACAGTGTGCCAATAAAGCTGTTCTCATCCCATAAGATCCAAATGCCACATCCAAAAACGATTGCTCCAATAATCTGGAAAAAGGTATATGTTGGAACATGTCAAAGCGAAAACAGTAGGAGAAGCTTTGTGATTTATTTTGTGGAGCTCTATAGAATGACTTAGCTGCACTTGTGAGTAAAATTGTCTTTACTCATTTCACTTGAATGAACATAGAAACCAAAAGACACTTTTTAAAAGAAGAAATATACATTACTTTTCCTTTACTCTTTTATTTTCATTTCTTTTTTCTCCTACAAGTACAAAAAAGCTGTAGCCATAAATAATTTTTTTATTCTACTAATAAAATGGGATATAGAGGCATGTCATCCAGAGGACCAACCATATTTACTTAGATAGCCTAACATTACACTTTGATGCATCTTGGCAACCAGAACACAAAGCATAATGATTTATTAGATTGGAATTTATTAATGCATTGGAAATGGTCATTAAATAGGAAGTGAAGGAACATTTAAGCATAAGTAATCAATATTGTATTTGACATGATGATGAGGATTACCAACAAGAATATTATAAATCAAGCACTGGACTTCAAAAAAAGCACTATTTTATCATGCAGGAGAAGCTATAAAATATTTGTTTTGAGATTAGAGGCTGAAATGGTTTATTTTCAGAGATATGAAGAATCCAGATGAAATCCATACCACTTTTGGAACCATTAGATAATATCTATTAATGTCAAAATGACTCAGAACATAAATAAAAGCATAAGGCAAATACAAAAGGAATTTTACACAATGTAGAGAGTACGGAAATTAAATAAATCAAGTTCATGAAGGCAGCTAACAAGGGCTACTGAGGAGAAGAGTGGAAACTTATTAAATAAACTGATTGTCATAAAAGAGTCTAGAAAGAAAGTTTTTTGCCGTGCTTGTACCAGTTCAAAAGGGCAAAGCTGGCACACTGATACAAATATAGCAGGTAGAAAATTATTCAGTACCAACTTCCAAATCCATGGTGCCAGATCCTTAAAACATGCTGATTGTGATAAAGGAAAATGTATAAATTAAGTTGATAATCATAGAATCCTTACAGTGTGGAAACAGGCCATTCAGCCCCATAAGTTCACACATCCCACCGTATCCCTGTAACCCTGCATTTTTCATGGCTAATCCACCTAATTTACACATCCTGGGACAGTATGGGCAATTTAGCATGGTCAATTCATCTAGCCTGCATATCTTTGGACTGTGGGAGGAAAACCCACACAGACACAGGGAGAATGTACAAACTGCACACAGACAGTCACCTGAAGATGGAATCAAACCCAGGTCCCTGGAGTTGTGAGGCAACAGTGCTAACCACTGAGCCACTGTGCCACCTGTGTTGAAAAACATGTAAAACATAAGTCGCTGAAAGCAGTTAAGCAATAAGGTACAATTTTATCATACATAGCAAGATCATTGAAGGGTTAATGACAGGACAAGGAACTTGGCAAATATATTTAAATGCTCACTGAGTCTTGGGAAATACCCAAAGATTAGACATTGGCCAAAATACAAAAATTGGCACTTGATAAAATTTGAAATATGACTCTAGAAATTATACGTTAGTAAATCTAAAAAATTGAGAAGTCTCTGAGACTTAGTGATGATACTATGGCTTTAAGAGGTGCATTTTGACCTGGTTTTATTATAAAGAAAGATTGAAACAGAGATGCCGACCAGTCTGCTCAAAGCCAATAGAGTAAACGGCTTGTGAAGCCTTGGGGTTTTTTTGTTTTAAGTTGGAACGATAGAAGCAGACTGACGAGTGGACTTAAGCTGTCACAGAACCAAGATTTTTAGTTTTAGCTTTCAGCAGTTGTGGGAGCTTTGAAGCTGGAAGTGGAAGCTCTTATTCCTCTCTCTGTTATAGCTAAAAGCTAGGGTTGTCTTCCTGCTGCGAGAATTGCATATGAGACATCTATTTTACTGAATTTGCCTTTCCCAAGGGTATGTTTGTGGAATGATAATATATTGGAACAATTAATCAGCAGTAGTTAATATATACATGTATATATATTACATTGTTAATCATTTTGATAGAGTTATAGTTAAGTCAATTTTTTTCTTTTATTTTTATTTTGTCTGTATTTTAACTGCAGTGTAAAAATAAAATATGTTTTGCTTAAGTCAAGTAGTTTGACAATCGAATTGCATCTGGAATGCAACCCCTCTCGCTTACCTTTAAAATAAAAAAAAGTTAGGGTCTAGACCATATTTTGAGGGGGTTTTGTCTGGTTCATAATAATGCTGAAGAAATAACCCATCTGGTTGCCACCAAACTCCCTTTCAAATATCAAAAGTTTGAGAAAGGATTGGTCCAGGTATACAAATGAATAGGAATGGTAAACTGATCGCAAGCAGACACTGTAAGCTCATGAGTTAGCTGCGAAACGGACACAAAGGCACTGCATGGGATGCAAAAGTATGGCAGTTGGAATATAAATTGTGACGTTACTCCCTTCGAAACAATAAGTAGAAAAGCAAAATATTTTTAGGTGATGGGAAATATGAAGATCTTGGTACTCAGAAGTATTCGGTTGTTCTTGTTTATGTAAAAGACTGTGGTGTATTTATTACGGAGGCCAATTTATTGCTGAAGTTTTTTTTGTCGTTATCCATTTTACAACTTTGAAATTTTACAAATGGAAAAAGTGAACATCAACAATGCAAATCCCATTGTGTCCATTGTGTCAATTATTTTAATATATACATGAGGCTGTGTGCACAAATATGTGGTTTTAAATGTAAATGCTGTGCTCCGGTTTTACCAGGACTTGCAAATGCCATCATCTGAATATCTGGATTGATCAGGTAAGTGCCTTCACTGTAGTGTTTGTAGGCAAGAGGGACAAGTCTTCCACAGTTTCTCCTCCACGTGGACCCAAGTCAAGCTACTTTTTTCATAGAATCAGATTTTCCAGATGATTGTACAATATTTTTGAATCAAGGCTTTTCCAACTTTTACCTCCAAGTTCCCCTAAACTCTGATAGCCTTGCTCTACCACCCTACCTCCCCATTACTCTGCTGTTCCTTCCAATTTTTCCCCTAATTCCTGCTCACTCCAAGGACTTTACGAACTTTTTCTGATCCCTGTGATCTCTTGCCTCTGAGTCCTATCTTAAGACTTCCACCATAGGCCTTCCTAAATTCCAGCCAACCAACCTTACAATTGCGGATTATCATAGAGTTCTGAGCAACATGGCCTATGGTGACATGTGCATCAAAATCAGACAAGAAGTCTAATCTGACTGACCTCCACTAGGGAGCAACCTGCACTACCTTTTGTGATTTTCACAAGCAGAGTGGCAAGTTTCAAGCAAGGGAGTGATAAATTGCCAATTGAAGGGGGATTATTCTTTTTAAATACCTTATCAGTGGAACAACTTGTCTCACTGATATTCACCTTTCTATCTCACCAGACTTGTCAAGCAAGTTAGAAATCAAGGAAACTCAATGTGGAAACCAGAGCAGGTTCCTGGCAATTCAGCTTGCCACTTGCTCCAAATGTTGGATCAGGCACCAAAATCCTAGGACACACACCCTCCACAAAATTCAATACAACTCAGACTGGGCCAAAAACACATAAGGTTCAGCAAAGTCTAACTAGCTAGTTGGCTTCTAGGAAATGGAGACAAAACTTTTAAATAAGGTACTACCATTAAATGCATCAGGACATCTGGACTGCCTGCATTTCCAGATTTCCTTGTTGCTGCAACCACTTGACCCTCCTTTCTTCATGCTTCGCCATGAGTATCAGCATCAATGGATCTTTAAACAATTTTCAAAATCATGGGGTATCTATATTGCCTCATATCTTCTCTGAAGCTGTGAATGTATACAAACAGTATACTTACAAGAAAGATTCCATTAAATAGGTTCAAGAAGTATTTGAGAATTTTTATCTTCACGTCATTTTTCATTTTCCTTGTTTTTTGTATTTCATTGGTTTGCAAAATGTCCCTGTAAATAATCAAATACAGGAACGAAGCAATATAAGATCATTGTAGCATAGATATTAGCCCTTTAAGCCTGATAGTCTGCTCAAATGGTTGATTTATACCATGACTATACTTTTGTTTCTCATCTCTCAATACCCTTAAGTAATACAAGTCCTTTGATTTTAAGTTATGTAGGGTGAGAGGAAATTATTTTTAAAAAGGTTATGGTATACCAGCAGTGAGGTAGATTTACATTTCACTGTGAAGGCCCTTTCGTTACCTCTTTCTAAATTACAGGGTTCGGTAATTCAATAGAGAGAAAAACAGTGTCTTAAATCCAAGCTGCAATCATTCACATGTGTTGGTGGTGGAAAAGCTATTGGGTAAATTTCCTAGAATAATAGAATCATACAGTACAGAAGAGGCTTTTTGGCCCATTGATTCTTTACCGTTTAAAATACACTACTACTTACACTACTCCCATTTTCCTGCATTAGGCCCATAGCCTTGAATGTTGTGACAGCTCAAGCGCACATCCATGTACTTTCAAAGGCTGTGCGGTGAGATACCTCAACCCCCTTCCAGGCAATGCATTCCAAACCCCTACCATCCTCTGGGTGAAAAGATTTTTCCTCAAAACCCCACTAAACCTCTTGCCTTTCACTTTAAAATTATTCCTCCTTGTCAATGTCCCTTCGACAAAGGGGAACAGCTGCTTTCTATTCATCCTGTCCATACCCCGCATAATCTAAACACCTTCATTAGGGTCCCTCTCAACCTTACCTGCTCCAAAGAAAACAACCCAAGCTTATCCAGCCTCTCATCATTGCTGCAATGCTCCATCCCTGGCAACATCCCGGTGAACCTACTTTGAATTCCAGCCAGTGCAATCACATCGTTTCTATAATGTGATGACCAGAACTGTACAAAGTACTCTAGCTGTGGTCTAACCAAAGTTCTGCCCAGTTCCAACATGACTTCCCCACTCTTAAATACTATACCCTGACTGATAAAGGCAAGTGTTTTGCCCTCCTAACTACCCTATCAATCTGTCCTGCCACCTTCAACTATCTGTGGATAAACATCCCAAGATCCCTCTGTACTGGAAGAGTACAGACCCAACGTGTTCTGAAATGTCAGATTAACAAGCCCTGAGAACCATGGATATTTCAGATATTCTGAACTGGATAAAAAGGAAAAGAGAGATGTATAATGGGTATAAAGGAAGCAAAATAACAAGTGGCCCTAAAGGCATGTAGGAAGTGCAGAGAAGAACTCAAGAAAGCAATTAGGAAAACAAAGAGGGGCATGAGAAAATATTGGCAGGCAAGAGTGGGGAGAATCCCAAGACATTCTACAAACATATCAAGGCAAAGAGAACAACCATGGAAAGAGTAGAGCCTACCAGGGATCAAGCAGGCAATCTGTGCATGAAACCATGAAGCGTGTGAAGAGGATATTGGTAGTGTGTTAAATGATTACCTTCAGATCTGTCTTTACTTGGAAGAATGAGGATGCAAGACCGTTCTTGAGCAGATTGATATAAAAAGTGAGGAAGTATTGGAGCTTTTGGCAGATGTAAAAGTGGACACATCCCAGGCTCGGATAAATTGTATCCCAAAATGCTGCAGGAGATATAGAATATCGAACAGTACAGCACAGGAACAGGCCCTTCGGCTCACTATATGCCGACCATGATGCTATTCCAAACTATTCCCATCTGCCTGCACATGGTCTGTATCCCTCTATTCTCTGCCTGTTCATGTGTTTACCTAAATGCCTCTTAAACTTTTTAACTATCTCTGTTTCTACCACCTCCTCTGCAGTGCATTCCAGGCACCTACTGCACTCTGTGTAAAATGTTTTCCTCACACAATCTCCTTTAAACTTTTCCCCTTTCACTTTAAACCTATTGTCCTTAATATTTGACATTTCCAACCTGTGACTATCCACCCTATCCATGCTCTTATAATTTTATAGACTTCTTATTAGGTCATCCCTCAGTCTCCAACACTCTAGTCAAAACCTCTCTTTATAGGTAATGCGCTCCAATCTAGGCAACATCCTGATAAACCTCTTTTGCATCCTCTCCAAAGTCTACACATCCTTTCTATGGTGCGACAACCAGAATTGTGCACAGTACTCCAAATGTGGCCTGACAAAGTCTTATACTGTTGCAGCACAACTCGCCAGCTTTTACACTCAATGCCCCAACTGATGAAGGCAAGCATGCCATATGACTTCTTTACTACCTTATCCACTTGTGTTGCCACTTTTAAGAAGCTATGAACTTGGACTCCAAGATCCCTCTGAATATCAATGCTCCTAAGGGTCTGGCCATTTACAATATACTTCCCTCTTGCATTTGACCACCCAAATGCACCATATGACTCTTGTCCAAATTAAACTCCATCTGCGATTTTCTCCACCAACCTTCCAACTGACCTATATCCTGCTGCATCCTTTGATATCCTTCCTCACTATCCACAACTCCACCAATTTTTGTGACAATTGAGGAGATTACAGAGGCCCTGACCCAAATACTCAAATCCTCTCTGGCTACAGGGAGGTGCCAGAGCACTGGAGGACAGCTAATGCGGTGCAACTTTACAAGACAGGTGGTAGAGATAGGCAAGGGAAATATAGACCAGTGAGCTTAACATTGGTAGTAGGGAAATTACTGGAGAGAAAAGAGTGAAGGAGAAAATTAATCTCCATTTAGAGAGGAAAGGTTGGATCAGTGATGGTCAGCATAACTTTGTCAAAGGGAGATCACACCAAACAAACCTGATGGAATTTTTTGAGGAAGTGACCAATTGTATGAATGAGAGTAGTTGATGCAGTTTATATGGATTTTTGCAAGCCCTTTGACAAGGTCCCACATGGGAAACTGATAAAGAAGGAAAAGACTCATGGGATTCAGAGAAACTTGGTAAGGTGGATCCAAAATTGGTTTAGCGTCAGGAGACAGAGTGCAAGGTGGAAGGATGTACGTGTGACTGGAGCCTAGTGTGCATTTGTATAACACAGGGATCAGTGCTGGGGCCCTTATTGTTTATGATTTTCATAAATGATATAGATGAGAATGTGGGTTGGAGGAAATAATAAGTAGTTTGCAGATGACACAAAGATTGGCTAGGTGGTTAACAGTGAGGAGGAAGCTGTTAGCTTACACGAGGATATGCATGGATTGGTCAGATCGACAGATCAATGGCCATTGGAATGTTACCCTGATAAATGAGAGGGATGCAATTTGGAAGAAGGAACAAGAGAAGGGAATACTCAATGAATGGCAAGACATGAGGGAACTCAGGGAACTGATGGATCCCACTGTTCTACTGTAGATTTACCCTTAAATAGCTGTTCCCAGTCTATTTTGGCCAGATCCTGCATTATTTTAATAAAATCTGCCTTAATCAAATCCTTTTTTGCAACGCATCTTTCTCCTTTTCCACAACAAACTTAAAATGTACAGTGTTGTGTTCGCTATCAGTAAAATGCTACTTCTCCCTCTTCAAGTTTCTTTATCCTCTTTTAAGAATGAACTGAATATAAATGAATGATTTAAACAAAATTAAATGAGTGGTAGACCATTAAAAGGGCATTTCTACAAACCTCTCGTTTACTTTGTCCCATTACCACTTGACATTTCCTTTCTCCATGAAACTGTTTGTCACATAATCTCTCCTGTCCTCCACTTTATCACAGCCTTCCCCTTATGATTTTTTCACTGTCTCTTGTTCAAAAGCCAAAAAATGTCATACTTTGCTAAAACTTTACGAACCTAAAACTTTGAGCTAATTTCTGCTCGCCTTGTGAGGATTTCCAGGGAAATGAGAGAATTAATAATATGGTGGAGGAAGGGATTAGGCAGGGAGTCCAGTCTCTTCCTGCTGCCATCGCAGTTTAGCATTGTGAGAACCTCAATGGCCTGGCCACTCACTGACAGTCAATGTGGCAACTTGTTTCATGCCCATCCCAATTGCTGAGGTCTGCCTACTTGACCTTGGCTTTTTCTTTGAGGTCATCTAGGTTTTGAAGTGTTCTCTACTTCATTACTTCAGCTTCAGCAGTGTCTACCTGTAATAACGGCACTGATGATTGGCTCAGCAGCTTTAGGAAGTGGGGTATCATCAGCAATTGAATGGCTGTCCGAGTGGCAACCTTTTCATTGGCTGCTTCCCACAAAATGGCACCCCTGAAAACTGACACCCAGCATTTGGTCAGTGCAGGCTTTCAACCTCAAAGGTGGGAACTTCTGATGTGCTGTTAACATTCAGCCCATTAAATTCTGTTTCTTTCTTCACAGATACTGTCAGGCCCACTGCGTATTTCTAGCACCTTTTTTGTTTTATTTCAGTACTGGTATAAAAGTATAATTGGGTTTTTTTAGTTTACCTAGGCAGTTTACATTACCAGTATAGATATAGGAGGGCAGAACTGATAAATGTTACACAGAATGTTACAACAGGAAGTAACGTCTTATAGGTAAAAAGAATGTGCAGACATCAATTTTGTAGTAAATATTGATAAATTCATGCTCTGAGAATTTGCTCAGAGCTACATCTACTCCACTGTCATGACTTTGTTACAAATGTGGCAGAAATCTACTGAAGGAAACATGAATGGGTACAGCTCCAACAAGGATCCTGATTACAATAAAGGTTTGCAATAAAGAGATTAAGAAAATTCAATAAAACCTTTCACTGAAGTAGTGGGTTGAGTCATACTTAAAGAAAGAGGAAGTACAAGAATATTGTGATGTACAGTGCTGAGGTTTTCAACTTTATAAAATATCACATTCCAGTTCCAGCAATCTTTTTAGTTTTCATTTTCTTGTTGCCTTTGATTCTTGATTTTTGTTCTTATGTATACCTTTTGGTCAAATTCATCCTTCAAATTAACATTAAGCTCCTCATAAATCTAGATATTAGGATTACACCAGTAAGACAGCAGGTAGCTGCTTCTGGTGACGTTGGTGGATAAACTATTACTAGTTTCCTCAAATCTAAACTACATAGCACTTTCACGGAAATCAAACCTATTTCACGCATAGTTTACGTTTTGGGTTTCAGCAAATTTATGGTTAAATTGTTTATTACTATTCCTATGTTCAAATACACATAAAATTTGCAATTGAACATTGATTTCTGCTACTGTTTTATATCTAAAAACAAACCTGATTTTTCAAAACTCAGTGGAATTTCAATTGTACATTTAATGCAAGTTTCTTCCAGAAACTTGTTCAAATTATAAATATAGTTCCTTGTTAAGTATGGCACAATTGTCTTCAAACTCAAAATTATCATACAGGTTGTACACTGAAGGTCAATATATGTACTTAAGTACAGCAAAATAACCTACTGTTGATTTTTACTCAGAATATTGACAGCTTTTATTACATTTTTCTCAAACTCAGTTTTCCTTCAAAGATATGTTATTCAAATAAAATGAAATTTACTTACCAAGAACTCTTCAGTTAACATTAATTTGCTGCTGTTAACAGAAACCAATATGTTTCTATTCTGAAGATGCTACTAATAGTTTGTTCCTAAAGTTCTACTACATATCATTTACGTGTCTCTGTGAAGTACCAGTTCCTTTCCAACAGCCTGAAGAAAAACAATGAATATCTTTAAAGCCCAAGAATCCAAAGTGCAAGCTGGTTCTTTGAATATAGATTCAAATAAGTTAATTGATTATTGATTAACTTTTATTACATCTTTAACCATGCTCATAAAGTAAGCAATGCAGGCGGGCACATAAAGTATAGAAAGAATGGATTTTTTGACTTAAATTAACATCCTGAAATTGACAAATTACTGGTAGTAACTCAATTAATGCATGCTATTCTGATGTTGAATTCCAGCCATTTACTTGTTGTCTAAGGGAATATAGTCTGGGCTGAGATTTTTTTCGGTCTTTTTTCTAATTACAAAGTTGCAAAGATTACAATTGCGCAATTAATCAACAGTCATCATCAACACACAGTTTCAAGTTCAAGAGTTGTTAGAGGCATCCACGATCAAAGCACCGACACATGATTGACTATATCATTGTTCAATCCCCAGACCTAAAGAATGTCCTCATTACCAAAGTGACAACCAGTGAAGATGACTGCTGGACAGACCACCAGCTTATCTGCTCCTCAATGTACAGCAAATGTTACTTGAAGCAACTGAAGATGAAGAAACAGCTCAGGAAAGAGCTCAACTTTGAATGGTTTTAAGAGCAAAGCAGACTAACAAACGCCCAATAACGCTTTCATTAAAATCTCCAAAGAGTTCACTTTCATGGAGTGGAGGAAGACAGGAAAGACCCATTTTCTCATGCTGTGAAGAAACCATCATCTACAAGACCAGGAAACACCAAGACTGGTCCAAAAAGAATGACTACATCATCCAAGACCTCATTGACAAGACAAGGAAAACTCACTGTGTCTGTCAAAATAACATCATTAGCAAGGCAAAGAAGAGAACTCATGAAACAGCAAATGTGGAGTTACAAAAAAGAATAGAACAAAGAACAAAGAAAATTACAGCACAGGAACAGGTCCTTCGGCCCTCCAAGCCTGCACCGACATGCTGCCTGTCACAACTAAAATCCCCTACCCTTCTGAGGACCGTATCTCTCTATTCCCATCCTATTCATGTATTTGTCAAGATACCCTTTAAAAGTCACTATGGTATCTGCTTCCACTACCTCCCCCGGCAGCGAGTTCCAGGCACCCACCACCCTCTGTGTAAAAAACTTGCCTCGTTCATCACCTTTAAACCTTGCCCCTTGCACCTTAAACCTATGGCCCTTGGTAACTGACTCTTCCATCCTGGGAAAAGCTTCTGACTGTCCACTCTGTCATGCCCTTCATAATCTTTTAGACCTCTATCAGGTTGCTCCTCAAACTCTGTCGTTCCAGTGAGAACAACCCAAGTTTCTCCAACTTCTCTTCATAGCTAATGCCCTCCATACCAGGCAACTTCCTCGTAAATCTTTTCTGTACCCTCTCCGAAGCCACCACATCCTTCTGGTAGTGTGCCGACCAGAATTGAACACAACATTCCAAATGCGGCCTAACTAAGGTTCTATAAAGCTGTAACATTACTTTCCAATTTTTAAACTCAATGCCCCAGCCGATGAAGGCAAGCATGCCATATGCCTTGTTGACTACCTTCTCCACCTGTGTTGCCACTGTACACCCAGATCCCTCCGCCTATCTGTGCTCTTAAGGGTTCTGCCATTTACTGTATATTTTTCACCTGGATTAGACCTTCCAAAATTTACTCACATTTTTCCGGATTAAGCTCCATCTGCCATCTCACTGTCCAAGTCACCAACCAATCTATAAGCAGCTGTATCCTTTGACAGTCTTCATCGCTATCCGCAATTCTACCAACCTTTGTGCCATTGGCAAACTTACTAATCAAACCAGTTACATTTTCTTCCAAATAATTTATATATATTACAAACAGCAAAGGTCCCAACACTGATCCCTGAGGAACGCCCCTAGTCACAGCCCTCCACTCAGAAACACACCTTTCCACTGCTACCCTCTGTCTGCTGTGACCGATCCATTTTTTTTTAATCCATCTTGCTAGCTCACCTCTGACCCCGTGCAACTTTACCTTCTGTAACAGCCTGCCATGAGGGACCTTGTCAAAGGCCTTACTGAAGTCCATGTAGACAACATCCACTGCCCAACCCGCATCGATCATCTTCATCACTTCCTCAAAAAACTCGACCAAGTTAGTGAGACACGGCCTCCCCTTCACAAAACCATGTTGCCTCTCGCTAATACATCCACTTATTTCCAAGTGGGAGTAAGTTCTGTCTCGAAGAATCCTCTCCAATAATTTCCCTACCACTGACGTAAGGTTCACAGGCCTGTAATTAGCTGGTTTATCCTTGCCACCTTTCTTAAACAAAGGAACAACATTGGCTATTCTCCAATCCTCTGGGACCTCCCCTGTAGCCAGTGAGGATATAAAGATTTCCCTCAAGGCCCCAGCAATTTTCTCCCGTAACTCTCTCAGTGTTCTGGGGTACATCCCATCAGGCCCTGGGGACTTGTATACCTTAATGTTTTTCAAGATCCCCAATACCTCCTCCCTTTTGATCTCAACATGACCCAAACTATCTACACACCCTTCCCCAGACTCATCATCCACCAAGTCCTCCTCTATGGTGAATACCGATGCAAAGTACTCATTTAATATCTCGCCCATTTCCTCTGGCTCCAGACATAAATTCCCTTCCCTGTCCTTGAGTGGGCCAATCCTCTGCCTGGCTACCCTCTTTCTCTTTATATATGTATAAAAAGCCTTGGCATTTTCCTTAATCCTGTTGGCCAATGACTTTTCATGACCCCTTTTAGCCCTCCTGACTCCTTGCTTAAGTTTCTTCCTACTTTCCTTGTATTCCACCCTTGCTTCATGTATTCCCAGCTTCCTAGCCTTGATAAATGCTTCCATTTTCTTTTTCTTTGGGCTCACAATATCTCTCATTATCTAAGGTTCCCTAAACTTGCCATACTTATCCTCATCTTTATAGGAACATGCTGGTCCTGAGTTCCCAGCAACGTACACTTGAAAGCCTCTCACATACCATATGTTGATTTGCCCTCAAACATCTGCCTCCAATTTACATTTTTCAGTTCATGCCTAATATTGTCGTAATTAGCCTTCCCCCAATTTAGCACCTTCACCTGACAACTACACCTATCTTTATCCATCAGTACCTTAAAGCTTACTGAATTGTGATCACTGTTCCCGAGCTGCTCCCCTACTAAGACGTTGACCACCTGGCCAGGCTCATTCCCCAATACTAGGTTCAGTATGGCCCCTTTCTTAGTTGGACTATCTACATACTGTTTCAAGAAGCCCTCCTGGATGCTCCTTACAAACTCTGCCCCATTCAAGCCCCAAGCACTAAGTGAGTCCCAGTCAATATATGGGAAGTTAAAATCACCCATGACAACAACACTGTTACTTTTACATCTTGCCAAAATCTGCCTACATATCTGTTCTTCTGTCTCCCGCTGGCTGTTGGGAGGCCTATAGTAAACCCCAAATATTGTGATTGCACCCTTCCTGTTCCTGAGTTCTACCCATAATGCCTCACAGTATGAGTGATCCGAGGTGTCCTCCCTCAGTACAGCTGTGATATTCTCCTTAACAAGTAGTGCAACTCCCCCATCCCTTTTATATACCCCTCTATCCCGCCTGAAATGAGGGAAATCAATAAACAATGGTGGACTCAGACAGCTGAGCTGCAACTCCTTGCTGACAATCACAACACCCAGAGTTTCTCCAGTGTCATCAAAGAAATATACAGACCGAACGCCTTGAATTCAAACTGCTGCAAAGTAAGGATGGAACCCAATTGTTGACTTGCTCGCCGAGCTGGTAAGTTTGTTTGTAGACGTTTCATCATCATACTAGTTACATCATCAGTGCACCTCCGGTGAAGCATAGGTGTTCTGTCCCACTTGGCATTTATGCGGCTCAGTTTGCTGGGGTCTGTGGCATCACTTCTGGATTTGTTTCTTCGTGGTTGGTATGTGGGGTCCAATTCTACATGTTTGTTAATGGAGTTCCGGTTTGAGTGCCTGGCCTCCAGGAATTCTCGTGTGTGTCTTTGCTTGGCTTGTCCTAGGATGGCTATGTGGTCCCAGTCGAATTGGTGTCCCACTTTGTCTATGTGCATTCAAATGTGTGATAGTTGGTCATGTAATAGACTCTGTCTCTCTGTCTTTCTAAACTTTCTAGGCAAATTTGGGAAGCATCTTTGACCACCAGGACATCTTTAGCAATATTAAGAGCCATTTCCCACTTAATTTATTATCACGTGTACCAAAACATATTGAAAAGCTTTGTTTATGAGTGGTACAGGCAGATCACAGCAAACAAGGGATTTTTAGATCAAAAAGACTTAGGGACATACAGTTTACTTTGCATGATGTGTTATTGCCTGCTATCTTACACTGTTTCATTTTGTATCCTGTAAATTGTTTAGGCCTTGCCATAGACGGCGTGAGTCTGTTTGGTTGATCTGGGCCTCTAACTTGGTCCAGTACTGCCTCTTGGTCTCCCTGACAGTTTTGCAAAGGTCATATCTGAATTTTTTTGTATTGGTCCAGGTCACCTGACTTGAATCCTGCATGTCTGGTCTTCAGTAGAGAGTGGATTTCACTTTTGATTTAACCAGCAACAAGCAACTGAAATTAACAGATTTTCCACTTCTCACTTAAGTTTTATTTAAAGATCTAGGACACTAGTCCTCAAGTTTGTTTAAATGTGCTGGGATCTTTTGTACCCTAAATCTGTTCAAGTCTGTCCAGATCCCAGACAAGCCCCCAATCTGTCATAAAGCAGAGGCTGACCCCCTTCGGAGAACCAAAATCGAAATACCCAAAGAGGAACACCTTGCCCTGTAATCTGTAAAAGGAGTGTGAAAAGTAGTGTAACCTGCTTTTCAGCAACTTCTAATGGTTAACTAAAATAAATCCCTGACACTCACTTAAAATCAACAAGTAACAATTTTTAAATCTAACTCTAACAGTGAACA